AACTACTTAATTACCCAGATCATTCTAACCATTTCTAACATTTTTATGAAAAGGGAGTGAGGAAACACCACCACCACCCACCTCCAGTTGGCTGGAAGACTGAAACTTCTAATGAAGCTCTTTATGCAAGCACCCTGCTTCCAGCAGCAGCAAACATTTTGAGACACCCCCCCACCCACCCCCCCCCCTTTTTGTTTTTAAATCTTCATTGGTTGTGTAAGAAACACACTTACTAGATTCATATTACCAATAATACCCATGAGCAGCATGTTTAGAATTGACTTGAAAACAGAAACTCTATTTCCTTCAGAAATCATTAATATCTGAATTAATGATGATGCCATCAAATAGAGTTACAGACACAAACACCTAAAAATCAGCAAAAGATTTCGTCTTAGTATTTCTGCATCTAAGATCCCCATTTGCAGCTAAGAGACCCTATTAACACTTTTGCTTCGACTACACAGTAATCCATTAGCACAGTCAGTCGGCAAGTATAGGTTAATCAAACTTTTTTTTTAAATTATACTTATTAAATGTAAAATACTAATCTCCTGATATAAGAAGAAATATTTCTACCACTCATTACACCATGAAGAAGGGTCCTGAAACAGATGGAAAGATCACATCCTAAAGTTGTCTCATTCTCTCCTAAGATTTTTTTAATGAACTCGAAGAGCAGTTAAGGGGCAGGCATCTACACCGGGAAACTCCCATGCCCAGTTCCAGGCAAAGCCTCTGGGTTGATGCAATTTCAGCATTTAGGTGCAAGAATTACACCATTATCATTTCAGGATTATTATTATTTTTTCTAAACATGCATACAAGTCATTTCAGTGCCACCACAAACATTTTATATTCCATTTTTCACTGCAGAAGTGGGGAGGAAAGAGAAAACAAAACAAAAAAATAGCTTGACAAGCAGAGTAGGAGAAGTGTATTCTGTTTTTGTTCACCGCACACTGCAACTTCCCAGAAAACAGGACTCTCTCCTCTTCTTTCCTCCCCTGTTAACACATCAGTAATAACCTTTATGGCAGAATAATCGGAGGTTATCTGACAGTCTAGAGGATTGTGTGTGTTGCAAAACAGCAATTCCATTTGTTTCAACATATAAAATCTTCTCTGGAATGAGAGAAGTTAAAACATATGCTTAACTTAATGAAATTCCCACAGTGAATATTTACACAAGTGAAGATAAGTCTTCATATATGTTTAGCTTTGCAGCAGCCTGGGCAGGCAGGGAGGGAAGAGAGAGAACCATATTTTGTGCCAAAGTGAAGACATCTCATTGTGTTGTTGTGGAAATCATCACACAAATTCCTCAGCCTGACCAGTTATATAGGGCTTGTGCATTTTTGCAGGAAGAAAGAGAAGGCCAGAAAAGACAATAAATGACATCAAGTTGTATAGAAACAACACGATACAGTGAGCTCTACATTCACTTCAACAGGACGGAAATGCATCTTGATCATCACTCTTTTGTGTCCCGTCTGTGATGCCACCACCAGACTAACCACATTTTCCTTGTTTAGCCCAGTGGCTCGGCATCTCCTATAGATGAGCAAGACAAGGGAACCACTTGGTCACACTCAGCTCAGTCCTTGTGAATCCATAGCTGCTGCTCGTTTGGTGTAGCTGTGAAAGCCACGTGCCACAGCCTCATGGTCCTCAGCACGGAAACCACCACCCTAGCCCTTCATTATAAGCACCGCAGTTATCAAATATAGCCGGAGTAGAAGTTCACAACAGACCACAAATTTATACTTGGTGTAAAAGCCAGAGTGGTCCTCCATTTCCACTCACACCTGGTTTTGATCAGTGTATTGGCATGGCATTTTGGCTGCTTGAAGCAACGTACTGGATATGATGCTATACATGGCACACCGTCCTGGAACAGGGGACCACAGAAGCAGCAGTCCCACGTGCAGCACCGTGCTCCTCGTCTGCTCCCACACTGGCAGCTTTTTCCTCCCCCCATTCACCCAACTAAAGAACAGGGATTGTATATTTAAAACTCCAGGGAAAACATGGCAATGTTAAGTAGTCAAGTACTGAGGACAGAATAATCTGATTTATTTTTCAAAAGCAAGTATCCAATTAGTAAAGGAAATACAATTTACTATTTTTCACCTGCCTCCAACAAGAAAGTGAAGTAAGTCGGGAATAGTTTTTTGGTTTTTTTTTTCCACTTTTTCATCTTAATAGAAATAGTGACAGTGTCACTAAGATCACAGACAACTTTTCATACATATTATTATAGTGTTGATGTCAGCTCCAAATAATACATAACCCTATCACTACTGTATACTTGAGCAACATGGGCATGGAGGTGGAGGGCAAATCACTCCCCATGTCATCTTCTTGATGACTGTTTGAGGAATCAGAAGAATTCTTTTTTTTTCAAAAGGGATGGAAGACAAATGCAAAAGCATTTACATATCAGAGGACGAGGAAAGATGCTTGCTTAGGATTGAGACTGAACAAAAACTGTTCTCATGGTCTTAGTGAAATACAGATGTGCACCTATTTTGCATCTGAGGTAAAAAAAAAATAGCTTTGCACCTAATTTGAACATATTAAAAGGTAATAACATCTCAGGCAATTACAATCATACTAATGTACAGGTGGGTTGAAATGATTGCTAGCAGTAATTCAGCAAAACTCATTTTTCTTTCCATTTACTCAGAAACAGGTATTATCTTAATTATCCTCCATTAAAAATGCTTTATGATTTCTTTTATTAATGTGGTTATTAAATATCTAAAGACAGCACTTGAAATCTAAAATGAAGTATTTTTCCAGATTTTGATATTAGAGAACGGAAACTTTTCTTCTTTTGAAACACGATTATACCAAGTTACTTTGTCTCATTTAAATAGTATTAAAGTAAGGCTTATAAATAGCTTTCCCTGGAATCCTCCTAACATTACTATGTTGCACGTTTAAAAAGATGGGGGTATACTATGCCTAATGTAGCGTAAGGCTCTGGATAAATCTGAAGACAAGGGATCAAGGTGAGTAACCTCGAACAAGCACCCATTTGCAGCTGTAGCTGGTGATGGATTACTTTCACCTGAAGCACTGTCAGGCAGATCACCCTGAGCACACCAAGTGCTGTACATGGCACACAATGACCATGGAGATAGAAGTGCTTTATTCCTACAACAGGAGCAGCTTAGAAATAGCCCTGTATTTATGGGCTCCAATTCACTAAACATTTGTTCCTATGAATAACCAGCAACTAACAAGAAAATCCCTACTGAGCTGTAGGGATTCATTGCTGGCAAGAGAAGCTCCTGGCAATAGTAAAGGAATAAGCGTTTGCAGAAACAGTGTTTCACACATCTACTCTTATTATTTGCCTCATTTTAGAAAACCAGTTTGTGATGATGATTAACACAAAGGTGCTTAGGCATTTTGAACCTGCCAGTCTAAAAGTTTCATTCCCCGAAACTCATTTGTCTCCCACCTCCCCTCAGAGGTGCCCATATTTTTGAAGGGGTTAAGCAGGTGGCTGGGCCTCATCCTGCACAAAGGCAGGGATTCACTTCTGGACTTGCCCATAACTTGGCAGAGCTAGGCAAGAGTGCAGGTGTGAGCCCTGCCAAGATCTACAAAGCAGATCCCCTTCCTTGCCAGGCTTTCTCGGCCTAGGAAGCATTCTTTTGTCCTTATCATTCTTAATGCGTTTTTTCAAGCAACACCACCAAAGGAAGAACTCTCCCCCCCACCACCACGTTGTCCATCCCCCTGCCCCATCTATTTGGGAGACGGATCGGGGGTCACTCTAGCCCAGCAGTACCCTTACTGGAGCACCTGGCCCAGGGGACAACATGGGGCTTTAAAGTCACATCATCCAGGCTTGGTTACAGGGCTATCTAGCATCTTTCTAAACAGAAGTGACTTTACTTATGTGGAAAAATTACTCCACAGGCCTCTGAGAGTGAAAGAAATAAAGATCATAGATGAGCGCATACTCCATCTCATAGTAAACGTTAGAAAATTGGGTACAGAAAAACGCAAGCATAACTGCATAACTTAAGAGTTGGAGCACTCATTCGGGATATGCCAACTGGGCTTTGTATTTGACATTGAGCATGCCATTATTTAATGAAAAATTGAGCAATTCCACAAGCAAAACCAAGAGTGCTCCCTCTCAGACTGCTTCTCAACTCCCTGGCTTAAAGCATTCCCATTAGAAATAGTTAAACGTGGTTCAAACCTTCAGTTAGAGAAGGGATTTCAGCTCTGGCTTCCAAAACCTGTGCCACCATTCTCACCTCTAATTACATTTTTATTTTCCTCTTAAGAGGTTACTGTTCCAACAAGGTTTTATTTTGGATAAACTTATGAGGAGTACAACATGATGGGATGGCTGCAGTGCAGCCATGTCCTGTGGGAACAACCAGTTCATACCTCTAAACCAAGCTTCTGTGGTTTGCATCTTGGGAGCAGAACTGAATTAAAACACAGCTCAGTATGCCATTAAGTGTCTGATTAACAGTACTCTCCACGTTATTACATTCACTGACACTGGATTTATTAAATCTGTTGAAACCAAACAAAGGGGGTCGGAAAAGGAGTGCCAGCAAACAGTATCTTTCTATGTCTTACAGTGCTTCTTCCTTAAGGGCAACTGGAGGCTGCTACACTTCCAAAAATTTCTGGAAGTTGGCCACAGAACATTCTTTTCAAATTGCCATAGACACAGATCACTCAGATATGGGACACAGAGAGATATAAACAAGACACCAAAAAAAATGAAACCATAGCTGCACACAAGCAGTTGCCAGCAATACATCACAAAAGGACTTTCCGCAGGTCTAGTACTAATCTTACTCCTCCCAAACATCACTAGATGTAAAAGCTACAGACACAGGAAACCATCTCTTAACCTTCTCAGACAACACAGCTATTTTAAAGCATTCACAACCTACTGTGCTTTTTCTTAGCCTTTTACACACTTAAGATTTTCCAATTTTAAAGTAAACACTTACCTTTATGACAATGAGGATTACAGCTCAGCAACCTGCTTCTCAAAACAAGGCAACATGACTGCCACAGGAACACCAAGGAGAAGAATGAAGTTCACAACTGTGTGTATGCTGGAAAATCTGTGTACTCATGCAAGCACACTAAACTGCATACTAAGGGTTCAGCTTGCATAAATTGCATGAACAGAAAGCCCAACAGGTGTTTGCAATAGTCGTCAGCTGGAGAGCAGCAGCAAAATGAAACTGCACCCAACTGTGGAATGATTACTTCAGGACTCCCACCTGCCTCGGTCTGGCTGCCTTTAAAAGATCAGGACTCCAAAAAACACTCTACTGTGAAAAAGGGAAGGGGGGCAGGTGATAGCAGAGGGAGGGAGTTTAAATGCTTTTGATTTCTGGGCTAGCATGTTCAGTGTTATTTTATCAGGTGGGTACCAGTTCTGGTACCAGCTTTGTTTAAAACAACAACAGAAATGACACAATGACACACGTGGAGCAACATAGATCATTTCATAAGAGATTCTGTCCAGTTGAGATCTTGTCTGTGCATGCAGCAGGCCAACAGGACTGCCAGGAGCAATTGTAGTGAGTTCCCAGGCTTCGGAGAAACCAAAGACACCGCCTGCTCGTGTCCCCCAGAAAGGACAATGGCCTGGAGGGACACCTGGAGTGGCAGATGGGTGTGGAAAATCTAGCCTGAGGTGCCACTCACAGGGGATCTCTTGCTTTCTGATAAAAACTTGGAAGGTCTTAAACCCTTCTAAGGCTTCCCCTGGAGTCAGCCCCAGTTAGAAACTGTTGAGAATTTTTTGGCCTTCTCTTGCTAATTGAAGTTTGCAGTGACTCATTTTTTTTGTGTGTCTCAAAAGTTACTGACAGAAAGGCAAATATTTTGTAAAGATCTGTAACCTTGCATTTTGTAAAATGTTTTGGAAAACAGCATAACTATAAACCTTCTCCATTTGCTGTTCATGTATGTATTCCTCGTCTTTCTGTATAACTGCTAGATATTTCTGTTTTGAGTGTTTATTGCAGTCTTGAGCCAAATGCCATCTATATAGTATAAAATCCCAATGCCAAACTACCAGCTTTTCAAGAAATTAGTGTAACTATGGCCTAATGTTCCAGTACTTAAAAGAGATGTGATTTGAATCCATTATTATTTACACCATATATTAACTAATAGTTGTGATGCAAATAGTTGCCTTTCCAGCTTAGGAGCATTGGAATTTATAACTATTAGTTTCATAGGTGCTAGGAAACGCAGAAGATGTGTATTTTGGTAAAAATTCCTGGCATTGACTGATGGTTCAATTTTCCATTTGAAAGACATTGCTGTTGAAATGTAGTTGAAATGACATTATTCTGAATCTTCCAACTTTGGTAAATTAACCTACTTTGTTATTTTCATAAAATCTGTAAAGTCATGCAATTTTGCAAAGTGAAAAATCTAATACAGAAAATTTCTGCTTCATCAGGATAAAACAGTAAAACAAACCAAGCTGATTTTCAAGAAAAAGAAAATAAAATTGTAAAAGCATCAGTTGCAATGACCTAAAATAGAAGTGCTGCAAGAAATAAAATTAAAAATCTGACCTCCTGTTGCATGCTGTTACTGTATTGCATATTGTTACTGTGTGTTGCCAGAAAGAACAAGCAGACCGTGGTGGTGGTGTTTCTTCTAACAATCCAGCAATAAATGGCTTTGATTTTTAAGAATATGGAAGTCTTACACCCTTTACCATTTTTTCTTATTCTAGCAATGAATTTCTGCTTAGCAGAAATAAATAGCAGGATTTCATTTTGATCTCAAGATCATAACTGTTTCCAATCTCTTATTCAATACACAAAACTAGACTTATGGAAAATCATGTGTAGATCACAGTAATTCATTTCTGAAACCCTTCCCCTATAATCAGGTGGAATGTACCCACCCAGCAGTGTACCTGTTTTCAAAGATGATGGGAAAAGAGTGTAGGTTCATTGAGCCAGTGGAAATTCCTTCACCTTTTCAACGTGCCAATAACAAACCAAAAAAGACAGCCTTCTGAAAACAGTACAAACTCTTGCAGAACCACATAGCAAATCTGAGTAGCCTATAAGGCAAGGTGATGGCAGTGTCAAGCTTTACCAAGCAAAAATGCTGAGATCAACATGTCATCGGCTAGGAAGTGCTATATTTTGAGCAAAACATGATTTAAAAATCTCTGTCATCGTACCTCTTTGTGAGCCACAAGCATAGGATGTTATGCATCATCCCTGAAAGCCACTTACAAAGCTTAGAGGCTTCTGAAAATGTTTGATTGGCTTTCTGAAGAATTAAAAATATTATTGAAATATTAATTTACTGCATTTCTTTGGGACCCAGAAAAAGTGTACAAAGAAACAGAAAAATATAAACCAGGAGATATAAACTGATTCAAGACAAAATGAAACCAGAATGACTATTTACTTGTGCAAGAGTGGTGGTATTTTCCTTCTGGAGCCAGCGAGTGGCAGCGGACAGTATTTCTTCAGAGAGAAAAATTGCTGGTGGAGCAAATAAGGCCCACTTTGAGCAGCAGACAGATAAACAGACTTGGCAGATTTGGGCAGCAGAGCTAGAAACGTGGCCTGCTGTGGCAGTATGGAAGACCATGTGCCGTGCTGAGCCTTACACACTTGCTCTCATCTGCTACGCACCCCTGCTACAGTCAGAGAAGTATGCAAAGGGAGGAGCTGACGCGCTCTTGCTGGCTCCTGCCCCATTGCACAAAGCTGCCCACGGTTGCTCATGCAATGGCACAGGCAGCGTGTGAGGAGATCTCTGCAGGAATCACATCACATCCTACCCTGAAGCGTGACATTCAGTTTCCTTCATCCAGCCACATATTTTCTCTGCAGACTACTCTGCCTTAATGAGGATGAAGAAGTAAGCAGTGAGATATCCTTCTGTGCTGCCACCAAAAAGAAAAAATAAATAAAGAAAGAAAAGAACAAGCTTTCCAAACAGTAAGTCTTTACCTGTCATGTCTTGCACTGCACCTGATTAAAACTGGGCAATTTGGGGACAGATTCTTGATGGCTGCATGGCTGCTTTGTGCCAGCCCGCACTGCTGCGCTTCTGGCCAATGGCTGCAGTCAAGGCAAATTTTAAACAAAGCCTAAATTAGGGCACTCCTCAAGTTGTTTTACTGCCTATGGAAGGCTGCCCAGTCTGCAGGGGACCACACAGCTGCAGGAAGACAGGAAGTGAGAAAACAGGCCACTGTGAAAACCTTGGTGATTCTGGGCATGCATGGGAGTAACTGAGAACTGGCATAACCTGGAGCCATCCATCTTCACTTATCCATTTGGAGAGCTGAGGGACTCAAGACGTCTTTGGAAATAAGAAAGAACTTGACTCTTCTCGCAGGAGCTTCTGATGACGGGAGTAATATTATTACAAACTTGCAGTGGTGCAGGCAAGGAAGCAATGGGGGCTGGCTCCCTGCCCCTTCCTATTTGCATTCCAGAGACTATTTTTGCACCGGCTGTGATCCTGTTGCAATATCTACGTGGGAATAAATCTTACGCTCAGACTTTATCGCAGATAAGACCACACATGGCAGTAGGCACAGAGCGAGCTCCCTGGGGCCCTGTTCCCAGATGGGGCTGAGCCAGCTCCTCTCGCGTGGAAGCAGCCGATCAGCTGCTGCCAGGGCAGCTCCCCCACTTGCTGCTCCCCGCACAGCCAGGGCACTGGGGACGCAGTCAGACTCCAACTGGGAGAGAAGCTGAACAGGGGATTGTGCTGGTCAGCCTTCCGTAGTGTGTGAATATCCTTCACACTCCAGGAACAGAGGGAAACTGACTGCATGGCTGTTTTGTACCGGACCAGAACAACAGATCAAGCCAGCAGCGCTAGGTAAGGGCTGAAGATGTGAACTGCAGTGCCTGGTTCGGGTGTTTTTCAGCAGCTCTTGATATCACATACAAGGAAAATGCCTGTCTGAAGATGCCAGACTGTTCAGAGCCCATGGGAAGCAGGCACCTTTCACATCACCAGCCTTGATTTATGTAGTATGCCAGAACATTGGACCTATCTATATTCAGGCATAGCCTTTGCATGGAAATCTGCGTATACCAGGCAGGTCTCTGGCTTGTTTTTCATCACAAATCTTACAGGACAAGAGCAGCAATTTCAAAGACTTTTCCAAGGAAGCCTCAGGGCTTGTTTGCCAGACTTGCAGCGTGGTATGTGGAGCATGGTATGAGCTGCCAGGCTCCCACTGATGTTAGCAGTCAGGAGGCTAATGGCCTGTGCACAGCTCTGCTGATGTACCTGCAGCACCTGGCAAGGAGTCTGCTGACATCCCTCAGCCCTTCTGGATGTGATGTAAAGCAGGGCAGCAAAACGAAACGGAGAGGGGCAGCATAGTTTTCCTCCGGCTAAGAAATTCTGCAAAGCACAGTAGCTTTGGGGGTTTTGCCTCAATTTTTACAGAGAACCTTCCACTTCCATATAAACTTCCTTAAGTATAAGGTATCTAACAGCATTGCAAAAAAAAAAAATAAAATTAAAAAACAACAACAACAACAACAAAAAAACACACCATAGTAAGCAGACAACAAACCATTAGCAACACATTGGCTTAATATGAACAAGTAGGTTAGGAGTAACACAGGACTCATGGTCCTACCAAAATTCTAGTGTACTTCAATTATACGTCTTCCTTCAAAAGGAGATAAAGGAGGTACTTTTCTAGGATCAAACATGGGGCTGTTGCACAGCTGAAGCTAGTAGCTAATTTAAAATGTAACCTGTGTTTAAAAAAAGTTTTGATCCTTGATTCTCTGTTTATGAACACCTGCAGTTTATATCACACACATTTTCATTGGAAACAATCTGTTAAATCTGTAAAATTATTATGGTGTAGTCCCACAGTATGTCACACTGTGGCAGTACCTTTGATCTCAGCCCCTGGGAAACATTTTTTCATGTGGGCAGCAGCAGCAGCTGTAAATACAATGTTAATACTATTGGGGTATTAAATTTCCCTTTTATTTTGCTGGCTGAAGTCTGAGGGTTTATGCAGTTCTACACTTCCCATATAACACGCTTTCAAGTTTCTGAAGTTTCAAGATAATCTAGTAAATGGTCTGTCTTAGATACTTTTACAGCGGTGTTACAAGGGAAAAAAAGACCTCTCTGTTTCTTTCAAATCTGGGAAAATATACTTCAGTGGTAAATCTTAATCTCTCAACATCTTGATTCTCCCCTCAGTCGCCTCACAATTGACAGCTTTTC